CAGTGAGGAAAATAAGTATTTGAACACCCTGCGACTTTGCAAGTTCTCCCACTTAGAAATCATGGAGGGGTCTGAAATTTTCATCTTAGGTTAGATAGATAGAGATAATCAAAACAAACAAATATTGCTCATATTGCTCCATCCCATATTTGTTGTTTGTGTATATAAAAAAATACTACAAGAACAAATTAAAGCAAAACAAAGGGGGAAAAATAATTTCATCTGCACACAGGAGCTCTTCATTCTGCATTTGTTTGCGTGGAAGAAAAAAGTCTTTTCAAAAAAGAAAGTGACCATTACATTTCCTTGTTGGCAGACTTGTAATAATGTCAAATAGGCTTGTCACGATAACAAATTTTGATGGGTGATTGTCTCAGAAACTATTGCGATAAATGATAATATTGTTTGAAATTTGTCAATAATTAGTAATTGTCAAATTTAAGAAGAAATGTTGGTTAATTTTTGTGTGTAGTACCATTTTTGACCATTGGATGGCAGTATAAAATGGTTTGAACCAAAGGATGGGTAGTGAGGGAGCAAGCAGTGTGTCTAAGAAAAATGGGAGGGAGGCCCCTTGACATGACATGGGCTGTCACTTGTTCTTTTTTTCAGTTCTCAAAATGGCAGACGCCCAGTGTGTTTTGAGCTCTTTAGCATAGCTAGCTATAGCATAGCATAGTGCATGCATCAGGATCTTTAGCATAGCATTTGACACACAATGCTTTAAAACAAAACAAAACAAAAAAAAAATCAATGAACAAGTTCTCAGCTTCTTCTTGCAGAGAAAAACAACTTTTTACACCAAGGCACGGGTTTCAATCGTGAATTTTGAAGCTTTGACAAGACGGAGGGGTTTTCCCGAGGTTGACCTGTTAGCTTAGCTTCTCACCTTAGCTGCTTTTAACGATCCAACGCGATTTTGGATGGTTAAAACAGATTTTAAAGAGAAAAGAGAAAATGAGGGGTCAGTGAAGAGTACCGGAGTTGAGCTTTTTGTCATCCAGTGTCTTCAGTAGAAAGAGAGAGACACGAAAAAACAATAAAGCTGATAAATGAAAATGAGGTTGATAATTTTCATTTATCATGCGATTAATTGTTTATTGTGACAGGTCTATGTCAAACTGCATTAAGCAGGCAAACAGTCTGTGAGCAAACTTGTAATTTCAGTGTATTATGTGTCTAAATGAAAACTTATAACAGGGGTTACTACATACATCAAAAGTTAAGGGAAACAGATTGGGTCTTATGAGGTCATTGCTACTTAAAAGAATAATCTGTAACTGCTGCAGCCAATCATGCTTTAATAAAGCAAAACACAAAATCATTTTCACATTCCTACTTATTTTATCCTGACATTATCGACTATGTTTTTAAAAAAATATTTATTTAAACCTTTATTTTGCCAGGAAGAAATCCACTGAGATTATTAATCTCTTTTACAAGGATGTCCTTGGCAATATGTAAAGTGTGAGGACAAAAAACACAAAGTAAGAAATAAACTGCAGAGACTTACTTGGGGAAAGCATCGAAGCAGTAGGTTTTCTTTGTTTCAGGAAAGGCCACTCTCATACCGGATGTTAAAGGTGAGTGAAGAACCACGGCGGCACACTCGTACCGTGACGCCAGGTCCACAGTGGGAACAGTACCGATGCTCTGCCCATACAGGATTATGTTCTCTGGGCTGATACAAAACCTGGGAAACATGGAAATAAATATTTTTCAATAAAAGCCAAAAAGACTAGTTATTGGGTGTACACAAAAAAAAGAAGAAAAAAATAATTTTGTCATACACTTATTTTGTTTAATCATTTCATACAAATATGTTGTTTGTTTGGCTTAAAAATGCAAAATATTAACTCAGGTTAAATATATTTGTTGTTTTCAGATAACTTGTATATTGGTTAAAAAGTTAAGTCAAATTAGTTTAAGGATTAAATTTAGGACAGATGTTTTAGGGTCCAAATTTGCAAACAGTTTAAAGTAAAAGCACAAACATTATGAAAGTAGATTACTTTTACAACAAATTCCACCTTTTCTTGAGTTAACACATTTGGACTTTGCAGATACACACATTTACGTTTCTTTGCCATTTTAGTTCAGGCGTGCCAAAGCTTTTAACTAAATGGTGTATGTCAATGAGTCATCTAATAAGTCTTTGTAATCTGCAAGTCAAATACAGCACAGTTCTGTTTAAGGGTGATTGTTCTGCGAAGTCTCCAAAAACAAGCACCCACAAGTTTAAACTTCTCTGTTTGTTTTGTAATTTGTCTAAGCAGATGTGATGTCAGCTCATGTAGTCTGCTTTAAAGAACATCGGCTCTTACAGGTCGATAAAAATGTTCAATTTGTGATGAAATTGGTCTTGCACACAAGTAAAAACATAGTCCATGATTTGTTGTTTTGGTCATTAATCTGAATTAGATGTTTTTCCTGGATAGATTAAGACATCTCTGGTCCCACCGACTGATACTTTATCTCAGATTTTAACTTTCTTCGTCTCACTCCTGATCACAACCATCCCAGACTTGATTCCATTTATCTTCACAAGCAGAAAGTGGGAATCACCTCACAGGACTTGTTTTCACTTTATGTTGTATGTTACTACATTTTAAAGAAAACTAAAGAGTGATAAAAACATTATTTAGAGATGGAGCATGATGATGAAAAAAAAATCTCTTAAATAAGAGAACATCTGTAAAAACGTCCTCCTATCGTACCGCGTGCGCAGAGCATGCCAGGCAGCATCGATGTCTGCGTAGAGATTCTTTTCTGTGGGCTTTCCGGTGCTGACGCCGTATCCCGAGTAGTCGTAGGAGAAGATGTTGCAGTTGATGCGAGTGCCGAGGCCGATGTAGAAACTACTCATCTGGCCCAGGTCGACCGCATTTCCATGAGAGAAAAGCACTGTGAATCTGAGGGGTAAACATTCAGAAGAAGCTTAAGGAAATGTGCACAAAATGTTTGTATTCTTCATAAAATAATTATTGTAGAAAATAAAACTAATGACAACTACCAGCATTGTTATCAAAAATATTTATCTTTTTAAAGTTTTTATTTTTTAAAGTTTAGAAACAAATAAGATAAAAACTTTAAATGTATAAGAAAGGTATAATTTCTTTATGAATAATATCCAGAATTAAACTAGTGGTGTGAAAAGACTAAATAAATAACATAAAACTAACTAATAAAGAAAATATACAAAACATAAAATGAAAAGAAACCATTTAAATCAAAAACAAAACTAACCAACACTTAATTTAGGTCACAAACGAATCAACCAATAGACACATTTTGCTAAAAGAAACAAAACCAATTGGACTCTGTGCACAGGTCTGAACAGCTGCTCAGTGGAGGATCTGTATAACAAACCCACTTTTAGATATTATTTGTAACTTAAAACAGAGCATTAACCTCTATAAATGCCAGTTAATCTACCTTTGCCTGGTGCAAACATGTTGCACTCCGGAGGTGAATGTGAAAACGAGTATAAAAATTCTGCAATAGTTTTCTTGACCAACTTCTAAACCCAAAGCTTTACTGGTGGCCTGCCCATCAAAAATGTTGCTAAACAAAATGGTCTAAAGCACAGGCACTAAAATAACAACCAGTCAGTCTTGTTTTAAATTTAGTAATTTAATAAGAGCACATATTATCAAGATAACTCAGAACTCAACATTCAGTTTCACAAAATTAATCAAGAAAAATGGAAAAAAAAGTGACTTTTAGCTTATATTTAAAATGATTGATTCATTTTAAAAGCAGGAAGCCAAAAAAAACTGAGTCTACAGGGACAGGAAAGGAAGGAGACCTGAAAAGTTAAAATCTAGGGAACACTACAAGCCACTCAGTTCAAACAATGAAGGAAAAGCTTTTAAATCCCTCACCTGGCACTCGGTGCACAGCGAATGTACATGCAGCCGACTCTGTTGCCTCTGCTGGAGCGAGTGACGAACACCTCCATCGTGTCCAGCTCTCTCTGGGAGTACTGAAACTCTGCTCGCTCCGTTAGGTGAAGCTTCCATCTCCCATCCACAGCAACCGACCCTCCACTTCCTGAAACCGAAGCTCCGCTTCTGGACCGCAGGCTCGACGTCCCAGTTGAGCCCGGGGCAGCGGGTCCCGCCTCTGGGTCTGGCAGAAAGGTGTATGTGGGTTCCGGAGGCAAGAAGGCAAGCTTGGCTGCGATGCGGCTCGGGCAAGGTGGGCAGCAGAAGAGGCAGCAGAGCTCACTGAGAGAGAGGTCATTCATCTTTCACTGTAGTGGGGGAAAACAACTTGATTGTGCTGATGGACCAACTTCATCATTACTAACACAACGAGACGCTTATTGTATGGTGATGTGTGAAGCAAGTACCCTGAAGATGACTGCAGTGATAATGAACATTTGTTTTGGCAAGTGTGTGGTACGTTGATAATTAAAAAAGAAAAAAACAAGTTTTGCCCTAAATACACCGTACACATAAATGTGTCAGTGATTTGAAAATAATGTTGACAATACTGTATACTCACTCACAAAGGATGGCACACAGTATTTTTCCCAGCTCCTGTGAAAATATGTATGCATCATGTGTTTGAGTACGTATGTATATATATATATTTATATATATATATATATATATATATATA